ACTTTATACACGAATAACATACAAAGTATATCAGGTGCATAGGAGCAGAATTCAACTTACCATCTAAAGTTCATAAATTCTGATCGAGGTTATATACCACTCAAGGCGTAAAAAGGTACCACTGTATAGCAATATAAGTTTTTAACATAGAGATTGAAGAAAAATTTGAAAGATTAAGAAAGCCTCACCCGTAAGCAGAAATGAATGGAATAGGGTGTATTTAGACTGTGATACCCACTCTCTTAAATCTAGTTACAGCTACCTGACAGTTCAATAATACGAGATACGGTAACATGCAACCAGTCTTTGTCACATTCAATCATTTACCTCAAACAGGAACATATAGATATATAACACTGAACAGATAAATAAAAGCAGATGCGTCGCAACATTCTGAACGTAAAGTAACTTGACAGACCGCCCGCGACTACGCGTGACCAGCTTTAAATACACCAATGGAGTCATAACGCACGTACAATGGTAACACCTTGTCACAATACCCAAGGGAAAGGCAAGCAGCACATTATGATTAATCATGCCGTAGGTAAGAGCCTACCTACGGAAATGTAACACGTTAAAGGTGGCACACGGTTCACTTAAGCGAAGTACCAAATGTGCGCTATTATTTATGTGTTGTTGTGAGATTTTTGGGCAGAGAACGAGCTATGCAATACATCATTAATACATGTAACGAGACAATTAAATAATAGATCATTGCTCATGCTGCCATATTCCTGAAGACATAAAAAAAACTCAAGACTCACAAGCCAACAAAAAGACAGAGAAAAAGTGTGTGCAGACAAGAGATTAAAGATAAGCGTCAAAAATTATTCAGAGATCAGAGAGAAGAAAGAGAGAGAAGAGCAGAAAGAGAGAAGCGGAAGACTCAGAGGAGAAAGAAAAAAGGAAAAAGAAGAAAAAGAAGAAGATAGAAAGATGAGAGAGAGAGAGAAGAAGAGGAAGAGAGAGAGAGCGAAGAGAGAGAAAGAAAACAAGAAAAAGAAGAAGAGAGAGAGAAAGAAGAGAGAAAGAGAGAGAGAAGAGAGAGAGAAAGAATCAGAGATGAGAGAGGACGAGAGAGAGAGAGAAAGAGAGAAAAAGAGAGAGAGAGAGAGAAGAAAAGAGAGAGAGAAAAAGAAGAGAGAGAGAGGAGAGAGAGAAGAGAGAAAGAAGAAGAAAACAAGAAAAAAACGCCAAAAGAAAAGTGAGAGATGTGTACAGATAAAGAGTTGATAAAATATAAAGAGAGAAAGAAGGGAGGGGCACAGAAGAGATTAGAGAGAGAGGAGATAAGAGAGAGAGAGGAGCGAGAGAGAGAGAGAGCGAGAGAGCGAGAGAGAACGAGAGAGAGAGTGACAAAATTTTTCGTTATTTTGTTCAGATATTATGTGATGGACTAACACAAAATAACAATAAACAACACACTACTGGGCATGCCTCAATCATGCTCATTACTGAGCAGGGACTGGATCACCGTCTAGTGCTCGCAAACGCAGAAGTTATGGCTAAAAGACTGCAGAGCCTACATGAGACCAAAAAAAAGCACTGTAAACACAGTAAATATGCATCAAAGGAACACCATGACAATGCTGCATAAAAATACGTGCAGTAACCGAACATAGCATTCAACGGGTGGTCCACAACAGAGAAAAATTGATTTTGTCATTCTCCATTCTATTGCATATCGGTGTAAAATTCCTAAGAAATCGAAAGTAAACAAAACATTAAAGTTACGCCGCATTACTTATGGTTGACCAGGTCAGGGGAGAATAGAGAAAGACACGTGCAACGTTAAGCAACCGTCTGTTGGAGCACGAGAATGGATGGAAATGCAGCATACAATTAAGTACTGTTCAGGTCAAGCACG